CCATCCAGTCATACCCAAGAATGTCTGAAGGCCCCTGACTGTGGATGGTCTTGGCTTTTGGCAAATGGCTTCCTTTTGGGTTGTTCGAAGCTCTCATAGTCCTCCACTTATTTCATATCCTAAAGAAGAGACTCATGTTTGAATTAACTGTGCTTTTTGTTTTGGACACTCAGTATCTGCTTAGTCCCAGAAAATTAAACAATTCAACAGTCTATTGAAAACATTCTTCCTTAGTTTCAGTAGCAATTAGCAAATCATTAATATATTGTAGCAAATTTCCTGTCTGAGTGGGTGTATTCGAGTTCTAGATTCTAATTCTCAAGCTAATTGATTTACAAATATCGTCAGGCTATTTTTGAATCGTTGAGGTAATACTATCCAAGTTAACTGAGGGTTTTTTTTCCCATTTTGGGGTTTTCCCCTTCAAAAGCAAACAAATTTTGGCTTTCTTTAGCTAAAGACAGGCAGAAGAATGTGCCCTTTAAGTCTAAAATGGTAGACCACTTTTTGTTATTGTTCAATTTGTTTAATAGGGGGTATGGATTTGCTACTACTGGATGAATATCCTCCACAATTTTGTTGATTGCCCTTAAATCCTGAACTAACCTGTAACTCTTTCCATCTGGTTTCTTTACTGATAAAACAGGGGTGTTATATTCTGAGTCACATTCAATTAGCAATTTATCAATTATTTCGATTCCTTTCCAATGCTCTAATTTTAAGGGATATTCTTTTATTCGAACTCGGTGGGCCCCTTTTTATTTCTGCTTTAACAGATAAAGCATTTTTAGCCTTACCTGGAACTTCAGATACCCATACTCCTGGATATACTTGATTAAAGACTCTATTTCAGGGAGGTCCTTCTTTCAGCTTTTCTGTTGAATTAAAGATAAACTCAGGACTTCAATTAATTGTTTGTCTTTTAATTCCATTTCTCCTTCCTTAAACGTTATGGTTGCTTCCAAATGTTCTAGTAGATCTCGCCCTAGTAAAGACTGGAGAATTTGGCATTTATAAACATTCCTATTTGTTTTCCCAATTTTGTACTCAAATTGGGAAAAGTTGTTTTCCCAGCTGTACAGGTCTCAGAAAGAATGCTTTTGCTTGGCGTCCAGTAGCTCCCACAACTGTAACAAATTCTTTTCCCAGTGGAGTCAGACTCTGATTTAACACCTGACAGGTTGATCCTGTATCCACTAAAAATTCCACCTCCTTTTCTCTGGTCCCTAGCTGTGATTTAATCAGTGGATCTGCTAGGGTAGATTCCCCCAGTCCCTGTTAGTCTAGCTCCAATTCAGTCACCAGAACTGTCTGGAGATTCTTTAGGTTAGGGCAATATTGCTTCCAAAGTCCAATTTTCCTTCAGTATGCACACTGATCTGGTCCCACAGACAAAGGATTTACTTTATTTTTGTCTGACATTCCTCCTCTACCTCTGCCTCATCTTCTTATACTAGTCCCTTTATCAGTTCCTACTTGTCCCAAAGCTGCCACCATAGCTGTGGCTATGGTATGAGTCAGCTTTTTCTTCTCTACCTGTTCTCAATTTCTATACAATCTCCACACTTCCTCTATCAACTTTTCTATATCATGATTATCTGGCTCTTTTAACTTCCAAAGCTTTTTCCTAATATCTTCTGATGACTGTCCTAAGAACAGATTGGCTATCTGCTACTTCCTTTCCTCTGAGGAGGGATCTAATGTAGTAAACTTTCACAATCACTTCCCTCAACCTATCCAAAAACTCGGTGTTTCGGTTTGCCCTTGTTTTACAACAAACAGGGCTAACCAATTTACTGGTTTTGGAATTGCATTTTCCAATCCAAATTTTATCCAATTTTGACATCTTTTCAAGGCAGCATAATCCTTGGGCAGATCGTAATCCCAATCTGGTGTTGCAGTGGGATATGATCTTCCACTTTAGCTGCTGATGCTCCTGCAGTAATATGACCACGTATGTGAGCGCGGGTGGTTTTTAATACCAACTGCTTTTCCGTTTCAGTTAATGCATCCAGCATTACATCTATGTCCCCTCAGTCACGATCTTGGCTTTTAACAATCAACTCAAACCTTTTTACCACTCCTATGGGATCATCCCGATACTCTTCCACAGCTAACTTCCAAGCATCCGAATCTCCCATTGAAAAGTTCATCTTTATTCTTGTCTGGCCCTCTGGTCCCATTGCCTGTCTTAAAGGTGCCTGAGTTACCAGCCCTGTTTTGCTACGAATGCGTGTGGCAATTGGAGTAACATTTTCAGGTCCTTCTGTTCTATCATCAGCAACTGCAACCCCTTCCTCCTTTTCAATATCAGAGGGATTCGGGCCAGGGCACTCTCCTCTTGGAAGTACCGGGAATACATAATCCTCCACCCTATCTTCCTGTTTACTCCTTTTTCTTAACTTTAAACCTCTTTCTCCAATATCACAGGCTGAACAACATCTCTCCAGTTTAGATCCCTGTTTTCCCCTGTCCTTTTCCAAAACTAAAATTAAGGGATCCGGCAGAGCTACATTAATCCTGCATTCCCTCTGCCACTCAGGGTGGTTTCTTAATCTGAAAAACATATCTGCATACACTACTTCATCCCATGTCTCCGGGTCCCAGTTGGGATCAGATACAAGGGCACAGACTCATGGCCCCACTGCCTTTGTGCCTTTTTTATTGCTCTGTTGTTTTTTTCCTTACATCTCTCACCCTTCTCTGCAGTGGCTCCAAATGCCTGCCTCTGCAACAGCACTTCTGCTTTAACCCTTTCTAGCTCAGAATGTAAATCTGCTACTTGTTGCTCCAACTCTGTGTTCTTACCTACCATGCCTTTGTAGGCAAATAGCAAACAGCCCCCCATGCGTCCAGCATGGCTCAGTCACTCCTTTGAGTGGGTATGGGGGTTTGTACAAACTCACCTCAATACTTTAACACTCCCATGGGGTCCTTGGCTCCACACGGTTCAGGTCCCACATTAGTGCAAGTTTCTATTTTATGCCACAATGTGCTTCACGGTTTCTGTGTCCACCCCGGTCACTCCACGGGAGGACCCACAGCCCGAGGCACTTTCTTATGAAACATAATTACAGCATATTACACAAAAACACTGACAACAAAATTACACAGAACAGTGTTTTCTTGTGCAACTACATACTCCACTGACCAAGCCCTGCCCTCAACACACACATACAAGGGATCTCTCAAGCACACTCCACACAACTACAGTACTTATAATGCAAATAAAATCCAACTAGACAAACAACTATTAATGATGCAATCACAACATACAGTACAGCATTAACCATATCATGTTGTCAATACCAAAATCAGTACCATGATAATCTGCAAATTAGGTCAAATACCGTCACAAAAAAGAGTTCCAAACAAATTTGAATGTACACCAATCGGGTGCCAGCAGTCAGGTATATGCCTTGCCTGTGAGACTTCTATATCTCAATTTACAGAAGGTTCCAAACAAAAGGCTAACCCATCAAAATCCAAACTCCAAACAAACTTCTGTGCAGGACATCTCCTACGACTTACAGAAAGTTAACCAAAACAAAATCATACTTACAAAAGAATACCTTCTTAAAGATGGTCCTTGTCTGCTCCTGCAGGGATCTGAATGAGTCGAGGGGTCCCTCTGGGAAAAATTCCTGAGAGCCCTAGGGAGCCCCATCCTCAGTGGGTCCTGCAGCCAAGCAGAGAGGGTCCCATCTGGGGTACCAAACTGATTCGAAGAACTTGTCAAGAACTCACCAACAAAGTTGGCAAGCAGATATTCTTTATTGCAGTGCTGGGAAACATGGGGGGTAGCTCCTCTTAACATGCCTTGTTCCAGCATCAATCAGGCTGTGATTATATTGTTTCTTAATATACATATTCATTGTATTTCCAGTAAATGACATACATAACATTTCCCAGAACTACTTCACATAGGTTTACACCTATTTTCACATGCGCACAACAACGTGGTAGTGGTCTCTGGGACCCCTGGTGGTCATCTCTTTATCACTTTCATCACTTTGGCTGAACTTCAGGTTTGGAAAGTCCCGTTTTCAAGCTGCCCACCACTAGTCCAGTTCTAACCTGTCATTGTGAAACATTTATCCAAAATGTTTCCTTCTTGCTATTATTATTCGCCATCAAGTTCAACGTTGCTTAGCTACAAAGCAGAACTAAATTTACTTCTGTACAAAAGAATATATTTCATTTTGTACTTCCCTGTTTCACCAGAGTGAATCTGTGTGCATCCAGAGTAAACTGGAGGGGCTAATTTACTCTCCTTGCAATTTGGAGTTGCTGTTTGGCTGTGCAGAGACACGTAGATGTGTTCTACCTGCCCAGGGCTCAAGCATGCTGCGTAAGCAATCTGCTCAAAGCTTTGAGAATCCTTAAGATATGTGTGGTCTGTGAACATCCAGGTGGGAGGGGGAGGAAGGAGAAAATTAATTTATCTGCAGAATAGGGGAAGGATGATGAAGACCGGTAGTAGAAGTTTCTTTCACATTGGTATGCACTGACAAAACGAAGGGTAGTTCAGAAAGGTAGACTTTTCATTTGATTTATGAATCACTGAAAGGGCTGTTCGTAAGGAGGTAATCCACAGATGGAGAAATACTGATATTACAAATGGAAGAAGAAGGAAATCAGAGCTCTTTAAGAGAAGCAAGCACTATATGTAACAACAGCTCAAGAGCCATGTGAGCTGCATAGTCAGAGGAGAGAAGGAACAGAAACAACTGTGAATGGTAAGGAAATGGCAGAGGCAGCAAGTCACGTTTCAAATTGCAGAGTATGTAACACACAGGAAATCTGTCCTCTATGTTTCTAATCCATTCATAAAGCTAGGCATGGGGTGCACAGGGCTGGGGGAACTGGAGGAGCTGCAGGGCAGGCAGGGGGTGCTGGCAGAGCAGTGGAGAGCTGTGGACTGATACAGAACAATTCACTACAGGGCAGAATGGGTAGGGTAGTTTTAAATGTTTTTCCTGAAATATTTTCATATGGGAGAATTACTCTCAACAGGAAACAACAATCATAAACAGAGAAAGAAAGTATAAAACCCTCGAAGCCTCAGAAAAGTTGAGTATTTTCCAAAAAGCAATTTACACAAAAAGTTTTGAGAAACAATAAAGAATGTGGCACCTGAATTCTCTGTCTCCTTCTGAGCTGGTTCAATCTCAAACCTTTGCAAACTAGCAATATCCTGTCCTAAAAAATCAAAAGTTCAGAATCTTGAAAACTATCTTACCTCCCCCACCATAATGAAAGCAAACCCCAAACCTGGTTTGCTTATACAGGCAAATGCAACATGAAGATATAATCAGTAAAACTAAACCTGATTTTAAAAAAAGAAGCGTTTATTCTGAAGACAAGGTTTTGACTAATCAGAGACTATCATCACTTGTCTGCTGCCTAAGTGATTGCGGAAAAGTATATAAATTACAACCCCCAAAACCACCTTTTCCCCTCCCCCCTTTCTGCACTCCTCCCCCCTCACTCGCTATCATGTTTTTAAGGAAGACCTTGAGGGCGAGGGTTAGGGGAAGCTCAGAGCCTCCCTCAGAGCGGGGATGGGGACAGCTTGGCCAGAAATGGAACTCACCCAGTTTTCCCCCGTGACTACAGTAACTTTCAACTACAACTACTACTACTACTACTACGATGACAACTGCCCGTATCAGAACCTGCAGCATATGTCTACTTTCCTCCCTATCCTGTACACTGCTCTGTTCCTGGTGGGCATTGTGGGCAACTCCATCCTGATAGCAGCCTTGGTCTTGAAGCGACGGGTCCAGAGGCTGATTGACATCTTTATCATCAACCTCGCTGCATCTGACTTCATCTTCCTCATTACACTTCCACTCTGGGTGGACAAGGAGGCATCAGACGGGAGCTGGAGAGTAGGAGCTTTCCTCTGTAAGACTAGTTCCTATGTCATCTCAGTCAACATGTACTGCAGCATCCTCCTCCTCACTTGCATGAGTGCTGACCGGTACCTCGCTATCATGCATCCCTCTATTGCTAGACGGCTCAGAACAAGATCCTATTGCAGTGGACTGTGCATCTGTGTCTGGTTAGTATCCTGCTGCTTAGGAATGCCAACCCTTTTGTCCAGAGAACTGAAGAAGCACTATGGAAAGACTTACTGCACAGACAAAGCCGTGACAGAAGCCAAGCAGATTATGTCACTGATGCTTTTAATCCTGGCCTTCTTCTTCCCACTGTTGAGTATCTTAACCTTTTACTGCTCCATCACCAAAAGACTCTGTGTGCATTATCAGAGAACTGGGAAACATGATAAGAAACTGAGAAAATCCATCAAGATTGTCTCCATTGTAGTAGCAGCTTTTGTTATCTCCTGGGTTCCCTTCAATCTTTTCAAGCTTATGGCCATCCTTTTGGGACTCATGAAGCAGCCTGATTGTTTTCCTGACATGGTTGCCCAGCTGGGTATGAAGGTGAGCAGCCCTTTTGCTTTTGCCAATAGCTGTGCCAACCCTTTCATTTACTATTGCTTTGACAACTACATTCGCAGAGCCATGCTTCGGTGCCTGTGCCCATGGGTGAAAAGCAGCAGCAGTGGCAGCAACTTGGATACTCTGGACACTCGCCTGAGCCACTCCTTATCCAATTTTATTGCCGGGGAGAATGCTGCTAGGAAGAGGAAGCGCTCTGTGTCCCTCTGACAGGGAGGTGGGACTGCAGAGGAAGGAACTTCTCTCTCCAAAGACAGCAGGCAAAGAATAAAGTGAGAGAAGCTGAAAACAAAAGGAGAGATTAACGACAAAGGTGCAAATGTAATGCAGCTGGCACTTCAGGTAGGAGGAACTGCTTCCCTTTAAATGCAGATCGATGGAATAGGAAACGTTAACCACAGATTAGGGTTCACAGTGATCGCTGTGTCACTGAATCATGTAAAGCCGAAACCATTGTGCCAATAAATATCCACAAATGCTTATACCAGAACCCCAGCACAAGTGCTACAAACTAAGAAGAATCATGTGACTCAGATAAAGCTGCTGTAAGGCAAGCTTTGAACTTTTATATATAGATATAGATATATATAGATATAAAGATTTTTATTCTGTGTGGAGCAAGAAAAACAACACAAGTGTTTTTTCTCTCTGGTTCCTAGCTCACCAACATGTCACAGTGGCTTCAAACCAGCCTGATAAATTCTGGGAGTTTGGAGGTTTTCTGAATTTAGAAATCTAATGTTTTGACGGATTTCTGTGTTACCAGCTCTTGCAGCTTGAGTCCTGTGCATTTTTCTTTAAGTCTCCGCTTCTTACTATGTCATTAAATCTTCAGCCCTATTTCTGATTTCAGAAAAAAGCTAACTTGAAGGCAGAGAAATTAGAAAAGACGCAAAAGCAATACTTCATTTAACCTTTCTCTCAAAGGCAAAAAACCCAACAACAACAAAAAGCACTCGTGGGTTTTGAGACTTTTTTGAGGTTCTGACACAATTTCTGACTGCCTGGGTTGTTCGTACAGTGGTGTAACAGACCTGCAGACCTGCTAAAAGGTTTTAAACGGAAGACAGCTACACCAGCCAACATAACTCATAAGAAACAGAGAGCAATGGGCAAAGCCTGAAGACCTGGCTACTGTCTGGATAGCAGGGAAAAGAAGAGGTGAACTGAGCAATGGAAGAGGTATTTCTCTGATGTACCTGCAGCACAAATGTATTCAGTATAGCTTTTCTTTTCATACCTTTGTATTTTCTAAACATCTGTAAACTGGGGTGACTATTTTGGGTGTTACAAATAAATCCTGGTATTTGCATTTTCTCTTGAGCTTTGCAGTCGTGTTTAATGTAGGCAGAGAAATGAAAACAGACCTCACCCAGTGGCAGCATAAACCTGGAAACCAAGGCATGGACATTCCGCCGAGCTCCCCAGCCAATTCCCTGCTATGGCCACAGGCTCACACAGCAAACCCTCATTGGAGCTCTAGAGAGTTGGCACTGCAGGGTCAGCCGAGGCAAAAGTGTATTTCAGCAGCTCCTGGTGCTGCTGTGTGCTCTCTGGCACACAGTAAGATACTGGGATATATGCCTGGGCTATAAGGGGGGCATCACAGAGACACAGGAACGGTTTTGCTCTCCCCTCCCTTCACCACATGCATATTTTTCTCTCCCCTCTTCTAAAAGATTTTGGTTGCCTTCCTCCACATGGCATACTTTTTTGCCCACACCTAACGACCAAACTGCTTCAGGCTTACAAATGCATGAAGAGCATCAACTGTGTTTTCAGACCTTCCAGTGTTTGAAAATAAGAACAGTGTCAGTTCAAATTTTAATCCTGTTTGCAGTGTCCCTCAAAAACTGCTGTCTCAATAGCCTCATCTCAATCTTTTAGCCTCCCTTCACCTTTACTAGTACATGAAACTTATTTTAATTACAAAAAGAAGCCTAAGACTTGCATTTCAACTAGCTTATGATTTTTATTACAGAAAAAAATCACATCTTAGTAAGTCAGATCTCACTCATTATTTCCTTAATCCCCACCCAAAGCAGAACTGTATCTTTGGAATATAATCAGTCTACAAGACTTAAAATAAATTTAAGTTAGGGCTGTCACTTTCTTTTTTTTGGCTTTGTTTGTTTTGGGGGGCTTTTTGTGGGTTTTTTGTTGGGTTTTTCTTTTTATTTCATTAATTAATACTTCAATAATTTAATACCTCAAAATGCCAGATCAAATTGGAACAATAACTAAGGAACATCTACCAAGGTCTCCTTCCATTGCCTAAAGCTGTAATACAGGCATTTGGGGAAAAAAAACTCAAACTGATCAAATATTGCCAGGTTTGAAGAGAATTATATATAAATTCCACAGCAAATGGTCCCCATGAGCAAGAAAAAACACAGAAGAGGCAACTAATTCAACAAAGCAAACCTCTCTGGATGCTTGTAGGCACTCATCCAAAAGACCGCACCCTATGAAGGTGCTTATTTCGCTCTTGTAAACTGCAAGACATCTACTGGACATTCTGACAACAGTGTAAACATTATCTTACATTATTTTTCCCAAAGAAAAGGCAGCCTATACTTGAACAAACTTACTAGTGGAATTTTCACTATTCCATGTTAATATTCATTATTTGTTTGTTAGCATTCACACAGCTTAGAATGACACCAAACTTAACGGTGACTTTAAGTATTTAATGTGGTGGACTTGTGTAATGTAACAGGATGCCTATTTTATCTGTATTAAAAGAACTTGATGACTGTAAAGTGGCTTGCTATGTGAAATGGAAATGCTGCAATTCTGGTACAACACCTGCAAAAGATCTTGTTTAGTAATTTGGACTGTTTATTTTCTCCTCCACTTTTATTATTTTAAAATAAGTCCAATATGGTTGCTGTTAAGAAATATGGTTTGGATTTTTGTAATCTATCATATCCTTTCATTGTCATGAGAAGGTAGCAAAGCATTACTAGGAAATCTGTCAGCAGATCTGGATGGAGAACATTCATTTGCCCATCCCACAAACCTTTTCATGATTTTGGAGATGTCTTTGTATGCCTTGAAAGAAATCAAGACTTTTTGAGGTTTTACATGAAAACAACTGCACCACCAGCAACACCCCCAACAATCTAGAGATTGGTGCATCTTCCTGAGATGTGCACAATCAAAATTGGAGTGCCTCTGCTTCTTGCTGTAAATTAGGACCTGCTTATATGCATCATTTGGGTCTCCATTTTGGCTTCGATGAATCATCATTTGTCAGAAAGAAAGTATTTCATCTCAATACAGAGAAAAATTGTACCCAGATCTAAAGCTTACTTAAATGGACAAAGAATTTTTGTAACCTTCATTTCAGCACCAGATGTGCTAACACTAACAACTGTACCACCTTGGTACTTTGAGTTGCAGATGACAGAGGAAAATGTCTCACAGGGAATAGTTTCAGATCCAAAATGATCAGGGCTACCTTACTGCCCTCCAGCAAGTAAGACAAGTGTTGTAGCCACTGCACTGGACTCACACTTAACAAGTACTGCAGTAAAGGCTGGCTCTTGGAAGCTGAGTGGAGAACTTGCACTGACTAAGGTGCACCAAGATGTCACCTGCAACTTCTTGCTCTGGCTTTCTCAGACTGGTGAGATGCAAAGCCCCTCACAGGGTGTCTGCGCCTCAGGTTTGGAATAGGCTGAATTACAGTAAGAACATTTCCTGACTTTGCAAAGATGCTGCAATGATACACATGTTGACTGCTGCACAGGCACAGTAAGGTCCTTGACAAAAGTGGTTTTTTTTTTCAGGTGCTTGTAAGGTACTGCTGAACAGTACAAAGAGATGTCAACTCAGGGGTGGGAATACTTCTAGCAGTTACACGCCTCTAGAATACTAAATTGTTATCTATCCCTGTATGATCACTTGTATTCATAAGGTTAAGAGGGACTTGTGAGTAGATTTGCAAGCTGCGAGCACAAATCATTATGTATTTGAAAATTTCTAACTGAATTAGTTGGACTTGATGATCTTAAAGGCCTTTTCCAACCGAAACAATTGTATGATTCTTCTCTTGTTTAGAAGCCTTCACACAGTTAAGGAGCACCTTTCATGGTAAGCTAAGAACAGGAAGCAGTGACCACAAATGGCCTAAAGACCATCCTCAATGGGAAATCCATCCACTCAGGCTATTTCCCAAATTATGTCAGTGTTCTGCATGTCACCAGATAAAGAGAGCAATTAGTGCACTCTATGTTTCAATAACAACCCACGCACCTGCTCAGTTTGCAGATGCAGGTGCTCCCACTTGCTGCAAGTAACAGGGAGTTTTGGACTACCTCACTCTCAGTAAAAGCCAGAGGGAGTCTGGTTCCAAAGATTTAGGCAGCTAAGACTGGAGTTTATACTAAAGTAAAAGAATGCAAAATATGGGAGATGAGAAAGCAAGTGGATGGGAAACCAACCACCTTCAAGAATAAAGGCAGCCTTCTACATGTGACTCAGTAAAAAGACCTTGCCAAAGGGTAGGCTGCTTGGGTTGACACTTATTTTTAGATATAAATGAAAATGCAGGTATTATTTTCCCAGCTCACCTCTGCTACCTTTTGTAACAGATTGCAGCAGCTTTGGAAATAGAAGCCACACGTTATGGTTTGACAGCATACAACATTATCAGTATCGATCATCTAAACAATGCATTGTGACCAAAACATGTATTTTCAAACTTCAAAACAGTTTCCATATTAGTAAGAGAGCAGATTCTTAGTCAGAAGTTCCCACTAAGTCTAGTTAGTGAATATTCTTCCTCTACTGTTTATTTTTCACATTTTCTAGAGCACATGGGATTTTACCAGAGGGATCTCAACAAGAGATCTCTCAGAAGAGACCCATGTTTCTCTTTAAATATGGACTGCATTTAGCTGCTAGAGAAGGGGACAGGGGAAGTAAGGTAAGAATCTGCGATCAAAGAAAATGCTTCCCACAAAATGATTGCTAAATTCAGAGGCTTTCATTTGTAAATGCCTAGTTTCAGATCCTCTGCAAAGAAAAGATTCCCCAAAAGGTCTAAGCACTCGCTCTCTGAACAGCAGGTTCTTCAAAAATAAATGATGCACCCAAAAGTCCCTAGTCTATTCTGGAAAAAAACATCATCTCTGTCTTTTACTGTGAAAGGGAGACCCACAACCTGAGGACCCTCTCTCTTTCTAAACTGATAAAACTAGTTATATGAATATAAAAGAACAGCACTTCCTCAAAGGATGCCCTTTGTTTTACCCTCAATTCGAGGCAAAGAAAACCAGATTGTGAAACTGTGTGGCACTCTGCTCAGAGAACGAAACTTGGTCAGTGGTTTTTTAATCAATCCAGCTTTTCAGTCTTGCTTTAAAACTGGCATGCAAAATGACGAGAAAGTCAGACTTAAAATGCAAAGAGCATTTTTTCCACTGAGGGACACGATGTATAAATAAATACCCAGCACATATCTGCCCTATATAGCATCATGCACCTGACTTGGCCACTCACATAACTTCCCTCTATGCACTGCCTAAGCACCTGCATGACCACAACACCCATTTCCCCTGTCACCTACTCCTCACC